AATGAGGATTTTGTTACCAGTTGTAAAGTGGTTAGATGGTTAAAACCGTTGTCTCCTTCGTTGAAACTCAATTCTGATGGTTCTGTTGATAATAATTATGCTGGTTTTGGGGGTATAATCAGGGATTTTACGGGCAAGGTTTTGGTGGCTTATGCGGGCCCTTTAACTCCGTATAAGATCATTCTTGCTGAGCTGATGGGCTTATACAAAGGTCTTTTTATTTGTATTAATAGAGGTCTTGTTAATATTGAGATTGAGGTGGATGCCTTAAGTATTATTCAAATTATTAATAATGCTGAGGTGTTTCATCCTCAGTTATTTTACATCCTCAGGAAAATTCGTTTGGCCCTCTCTACTATGAACTATACTATGAAGCATTTGTTTAGAGAAGGTAATGCTTGTGCTGATTTTTTTTTTGCTAAAATTGGGAGCAGATTGGATGAAGATAGAGAATTTGATGTGAATACTTTGCCTCATATTCTAAAAGGTTTGGTGACTCTAGATAAAATTGGATTTCCTTATGTGTGTTCTTTCTGATGTTCTGTGTGGGTTTATTACCTTTGGTTTTGTTTTACTGAGTATGCTGCTTTCTACTGATCCTGTCTTTGGTTTTTTCTGTTCTACTATTCCTGGTAGTGGCTGTTGTGTTTTTCTAGTCTCGGGGTTGGTCAAACCTGGGAGCTGGAAGCTTGTCATTTTATTTAGGGACATGGATTTAACTTCCTTTAGTATCTGGAATCTGTTTTGGAGGCTCCAAGTTTTTGGGTGTTTACAGATTTGGTTTTTCTTATTTATTGGGTGGTGGATTGTTTCTTATGAGCTGAAGAGAAACTGTGGGGGTTTACGGTATAACGAGAGATGGTTTACTGTTTTCAAATTTATCTTCTATTGCTATAATTTGGTTGAATGGAGAAAGGTTAATCATCAGCACATCTTCTGTTTTTTGCTCTGGAGAAATATGGACATCAGGTGTTTTCATTCTTATAAAAGAGCCGTTAATGTCATATTTTGTTTCAGTTTCAATTACTATGATTTTGATTCTGTTTTTTGGAGATTGTCTTGCAAGGACACTATTCCTTATGTGCTTACTTGGCTGCAAGGTTATTTTGGTAGGTTTCTGTTTTTTCCTGCTCTTTTTTGGTTTTCGTTTTTTCAGGAAGAGGATGCTGAACGAGGACTTTAAGCTCTTCCTTTTTTGGGTGTTGTATGCTCACAACCCGATTACTTTTTTATGTACTTCTTGTAATCTTAGGAAAATGAACCACTGGCTCATAGGCTTTGTTTTTCTCTTTTTGCTTGTAGCTCTTTTGAGCGGTAGAGAGCTGGAGGTTCCTTCTAAGGACTCTGTAACCGATTTTTTGATATTAACACGTAGGCCCCTTTGAGGGTTTTAACCAAAAAAAAAAAAACTCGGTCATAATCTGGCTGTTTCATTTATACAATCTATTTTTTAATTTATTTATTAAGTTCCGGTCCTCATAATTTTCAAAAAAAATCATGTGCTCGGCCACGTAGCATCACCCCTTTTAATTTTCTTCAACGGGTCCCTTCAGTTCTCTCAGTCTGTGCCAAATGTGTGTGACATAGCAGTTTCTCTCTCTACATCTATGGCGTAAGCTTGATGCCTGACAGTGCAAGCAAAGCAAGCTCCTCACGCTTTATTCCTCCACCTTCAAACTGTTCTCTTTCCTCTTTTAAAATTCTCCTCTCCTCCATTTTTTTTCTTTCTTGCCTTGTGCTCCCCCATTACATCTACAAACCTTAGATTTGGCTTCTCTCACATCTTCTTCTTCATAAGTCCTCGGTCTTTCATTTTCTCCCGCTTGCATAGTTTATTTCCCCTTCACATCTCACAGACATCCACCTCAAAGAATTCTTCCAGCCAACAACAGTTCGATACTGTGCACTAGTGCAGTCTTTTCATAGAGAATGTTCAGGTTGTTCAATTCTTTCTACCATTGAGAGATAAAAAACCATTTGAAGTTTGAAATCTCTTTGTTTTCTTAGGTGCTCTTCCCATTATTGCGCTGACTTCTTGATTGAATAGTTTACGCCATGAGTTGACAGGAAACTGTTCAAAGTGTATCTGATTCAAGATTCAGGATCTTTGCTTGGCTTCTCAAACCAAAGAATCGAAGAGTACTGAGGAACCCCCTAAAAATTCTACTCTTTTCTCTTCTTCCTTTCTATTGCATCTTCAAGAATTAAACCAGGATGTTAGAATGCTGTAAAGAGATAAGGTGACAATTAAGCAAGTGAGTTGATAATTTCTTTTTATTTGTGTCCCAAGATTTCTATATATTTGCTTCCTCAACAATCCTTCTTTACTTATTGATCTCTCCAGGCCATAAAGGAACAGGTCTAGCTAGAAGTTCAAAATAAAAATTAAAACAAAAAAGGAATAAAGAAAGAAGAGTGTTCAAAGATAGAGAAGGAGAATGAATTTTTCTAGCCATGATGGGGATATCCCAATCCCAATAACCAGCACTTTTCATCTTGGTGGTGGAGCTCATTGCCAGAGCCAAAGCAACTGCATTGGCCCACCCCCTCCTCCTCCTGAAACTCTTACTCCCCTCCCTTTACCGACTCCAGATAACAGCAAGAAAGGAATTGCAGTAAAGTACAGAGAATGTCTCAAGAACCACGCAGCTTCCATTGGTGGGAATGCTACTGATGGCTGTGGAGAGTTCATGCCCAGTGGAAAAGAAGGTACCTTGGAGGCCCTCAAGTGCTCAGCTTGCCATTGTCACAGGAACTTCCATAGGAAAGAGACTGAAGGAATATCGTCATCCTCTTGTGACTGCTTCCATTTCAAAGGAGGGAGGAAGATGGAGGGGTACATTTCAAGGCCATCTCCTCACCAAATGATAATGCCACTTGGAGCTTTGCAGACCTCAGAATCTGATGATATGGAAGGTTTCATGACAAGGACTCCCATAGTGAAGAAGAGGTTTAGGACCAAGTTCAGTGCAGATCAGAAGGAGAAGATGCTGGGATTTGCTGAGAAGGTGGGGTGGAGGTTGCAGAAGCAAGAGGAGAGTTTGGTTCAGCAGTTTTGCCAGGAAATTGGGATTAAGAGAAGGGTTCTCAAGGTGTGGATGCATAACAATAAGCATAACTTGGCTAAGAAGAGCAGAAATCTTCAGCTGGATTGGAGTACTAGTACGACAACTGTTACTGATCTTTGATTTTTGTCTGAAATTTTACTGTTATTAGGTTGAGTTTGATATATTAAAACGTTTATCTTTTGTTTCAGCTCCTTGAATCTTCTTTTTTTTTTTGTTTCTTCTCTCCTATTGTTAGAGCTTTCTTTGTCTCTCTCCAGTGTCATTGTAGCAGGGAAATGCAGATTAAGTGGCTTATGCTTAAATACTCTTTGAGAGGCAGACAGTACCTTGAACTGATTTCCTTTACTACTTTCTTTTACTGATTTCTTTTGCTTAAGTAATGATGTCCTTAATTTGTTAGTACATTATACTTTCTATATAATCCAGAATCTGTGTGCTATTATTGTTTTCCATTTCTTTTTATCATGTATTATTTCGTGTCTTATCGGATCCAGAAATATAACTCTTCTGGATCAACAAAATGTGCTTTGTTTTCTGTAAAAAGTATTGAGATCAGGCATGTTATATGTAATAATTAACATTTATGCCTTCCGATCAACATATACTAACATTGTTCAAGAAATCTAATGCTGTAAAATACAAATCTCTCATGTAAAATAATCACAGATGAATGGAAGCCTTCTTGATTAGTCTCACTAATCCCAAGAAAAAACCAATCCTCCACCTGTAAATTTCATAGTTAAATGAGATAATATCATTTATATCCATATGAACTACCTTTCATATATAATATCATGCAGCCTTTTAATACAAAATGTTTTTCTTTTTAATTATCTGTTTGGTAGTATCGATTACAATGAAGTCTAATATATCAATCATCAAATTACCAGAGAAGCGTTGTTGTACAAATCAAACCTGACATGATTTGTCAGTTTTTCTTTGTATCAAAGCAGCTCGCTGCAAAACATTTTAAACGTGGATGCATGCAATCTGATCAAAGAAGGAATAATAATTTTATGCATGCTAAATGCACTATTTATATACCCTTTTAATACGTTATGGCCTCGCTCACTTACCAAAGATGTAAATAAAAAAAATTACAGAAAGAAGATAGATTATTCCAAGTTTTTGTAAAAAATCTGATTCTTGTTGCAGAAGTACATAACATTTAAAATAACTGATGCTGTAATTACCTCTGGAAGGAGTAGAAGCACAATGTTCATTAATGAATGGAGTCAGAACCATAAATATGGGTAGATATACGCATGATTTTCTCCTCGACATGTTTTATTGTTCATTGAATGCATGCGACACAGCTAATTGATAAGTGGACATCTCCGCCCACGTAAAAGTTGGACTTTTATGCCGTAATTAACCTCTTAATCATGATAATAATCCCCTCCTAAACTTCATTATTAGTTTAATTATATCTGTGAGGGAGCATTCCTTTGGAAAAAAGTCATGATTAGTATTCTTTCAAAAAATCATAAGCATGTGGTCAATAAAGCAAAAGCACAATTTAACAGAAGAAACAAAACTGTACTGAAAGATAAGTAGCTAACTAATGATTGTTTAATACTTAAGCAGCACTTTTGCATAATTCATCCTATATTTTTATAAAATATATAATTGTTAACAAAAATTAATTAAAATTTATTTTATATATAAATATGATTTTTTTTTTCAAATCTATTTAGGTTCTTAATTTCAGCATTTTCTTTTAGATTTTTAATCAGAAGTAGTAGGCTATATTCGTGAGCCATTAAAAATGACTTTATTTGATGGAGCTGCCGCTTTGTTTGGTAAGGTTTTAAATGAATGAAATGAGTTATTATTTTGTTTATGTTTATGTTTATGAAATATAATTCATTTTTTTGATATTTAATAATATTTACAATTATATAACGTACACAACTTTTAAATGCATAAGATTTAGTAATATGGATGCTCAAAAGTAAAAATAGTTATCAAATAAGGAATTGAGCAATCATTAATAAATAGCATTTTATCGAATTTGTAGTGAGTTATGATATAATGAATGATTATGTTCAAGGACTTATAAATAAATAAATATGTCGTTTTTTTAATACATTCATTTATAGGACAAGTTTTATTTTTTTTAATTATTAAATTACATAAATAAATAAATAAAAATAAGTCTTATCGAATCTTTGTTCGAGTTCATTATTTTTTTTTTAGTTGAAACCCACAAAGGGGTCTACACATTAATATATATAAATCAGAAATTACAAGTCCCTAAGGGGTAAATTAGCTCATTAATGCTCGAAGAGCTACAATCATTCAAAGAAAATAAAACCTAAGGGCCCATGAACCCCATCTAAGAATAAAAACATAATACCCAGATACATTCTAAGGCGGCACGAAAGAAGCGCCCAAAAAACAAAAAGCTCTAGCATAAAACAATCAGCACAAGCTTTTTGGCCAAAAAATCCTTCCAGGTTAAAGAAAACTTGCAAAAAATACACAAGCAAAATAGAAACTAAAAAACAAGTCTCAGATAAAAACTTACCCGATTTCCACGAAGTAGATCCAGCAAATTGCAGCCCCAAAAACACATAAACCATAGACTTGTACCTCACAACCAACCAGCAGCACCGGCAAACATAAGAGCAAAAGTTAGAAGCAAATAAAATTAAAATGCATAAACTCCTCAAGGTAAACAAAGGCTCCCAGATCCTAAACCTCATGTACCCAACCAAAGTCTTCAACCTGATGCACAGAAAATGCCTCATAGACTTACCCAGCCAATAAAACCAATACAAAAAAGAAGAAACACCCAGATCTACCTCCAGCACCTCATATAACCTGAACAGGTAATCACCAAGAGATACAAAGAACACCTCATAGAAAACACCAGCTATCTTGGAGCAACAACCAAACACCACGGAATATAACTCCCAGGCAAAGAAAAACAACCAAATAAACAAAGAAACCAGATAGTAGAAGAAGACCTCAACCAACAAAAAGAAAGCAAAACAAAAATTAGCCCGAACGAATATAAGGTAAACCCATTTATCTAGCCTAACTAAACCTCTCAGAAAATAAGGCAAATTAGGCTCCTCAAACTCCTTAACAGCATTAATAAGGCAACCCAACTTGGTCAACCAATCAGCACACGCATTTCCCTCTTGATAAATATGAGATAGGGTATAATTCAGGTTAGCAAGCACCTGATTAATTCTTCTAATAATATAAAACAGCTCAGGATGACCCACCTTCTCTTTTTGAATAAACTGAATTAAGTTTAAAGCATCCACCTCGATGGCCACATTTACAATGCCAAATCTATGGCATAAACAAAAACCATAAGATAAGACGATGAACTTAGCAAAAATAACTTTACAGTGGTTAAGAGGAGCAGCATAAGCAATAATAACATCACCATTAAGATTACGAATAATCCCACCCATACTAGCCGCGTTATTACCAATAGAACCATCCGAGTTCAACTTAAAAAAAGGAGTGACAGGTTTCAACCACCTAACAATTCTATCAACTGTGAGGGACATATCAGACTGCATAGAAATATCGAAATAAAGAGCCAGCTGAGCACAGTTTTTAAATATTTTCCAGAGATCATTTTAGAGGCTTGAAGCTGAGAAATTTTGAATTTAATATTGGCAATAATTTGCATGGAATCCATTTGAATATCTTTATGCTTGACTTCATTTATGTCTCTCCAAAGATACCAAAAAATAATGACAGGTAATAAATTAGAGATATGACCTTTGGAATTGGACATCCAAGAATCTAAAATCGTAATAATATTATCATATGCTAAAATAAGTTATCTTTATGAGCAATGTCAAGGAAAAAACTCCAAACTTTTTTAGCAATAGTGCCATTCACAAAAACGTGAACCAAATTCTCAATATTGAAGCAGCACTGACATTTAGACGTTATAGTAAAACCTTTTTTCATAAGTGTCAACTGGAATAAAACCTTTCATACATCTCCACACAAGTATGGAATAGGATAGGGGAATGTTATTGTGCCAAATAGAAGAGTAAATTCTCGATTTGCTATTCTTGATGTGAAAACTATCCCAAACAATTTTAAGACTAAAACTACCAGAAGGAGATGACTTAAATAGAATGTTATCCTTGCAATGTAATTATAAGGGGATCTCAACAATCAAGCTAATTAAGTTAGAAGGTAAAAACTCTCTCAATTTATCAACATTCCAAATACCATTATCAAAAAACTTGTGCACCTTAATATTCAGAATAGTAAAAGTATTTAAAAGGTTATCAATGGAGCCACACCCTAACCAATTATCTTGCCAGAAAGAAATGTCCCCTTTTCCCAAACCCCATTGAATAAAATATTCAGCTTCCCATTTGATGTTATAGAGTCTTTTCCAAACCTTAGAGTCGATTTTTTTATATGTACAAGCGGTAGCATGCAAACCCTTGCAGTATTTAGCATTCATGAATTGATCCCACAAACTAATATTAGATCTAAAAGTAAACCAAAGTTTGTACGAAAAAGCTCTAGCAGTGTCCATTAAGCTTTTGCAACCCAAACCACCTTCATTAAGAACACCACACATTTTGTTCCAAGTAGATCAATAGATGCAATTACTATTATTTTTGGCACCCCAAAAAAACTTTTTAATCGTCTTTTCATTCTCAAACAAATAAGCCCAATAGGATTCAAAGTATGAAAAATGTAGATAGGAATCGAATTTAACATGCTTTTAATGAGAACAAGTCTACCACCAAAAGATAAGAAATTATAACTCCACTTGGTAATATTCTTTTGAAAAATAGTAAATAACTCTTCAAAAATATGATTTCTCTTTCTCCCTTTAAAAATAGGAGTACCCAAATACTTGATAGGCAAAAGAATACAATTAAAATCACAAATGCATTTAATAATATTGATCTTACCTTGACTCACACCTTCAGACACCAAAAAACTACTCTTCTCTTTATTAATCGCCAAACCACTCATACTTTGAAAATTACTTAAAAATTGAACTAACACTTTAATGTTGTTGACCGAACCATTAACGAAAATAATAAAATCATCAGCAAAACTAAGGTGGGTAATCAGAATACCACCCATAGTATGATAGAACATGGAATTACATCTTTTGTATAACTCCTCCAAACCCCTAGAAAGATAATCCATAGCAATAATGAACAAAGCAGGAGACAAAGATCACCTTGTCTCAAACCTTGCGAGGACTTAAAAAAATCATGTTTACTACCATTAATAATAACAGAAAAGAAATAATTCTCAATACTATTTCTAATCAATTGAATAAAAGTTTGACTGAAACTAAATAGAGATAAAATATTATAAAGGAAATTCCAATTCAAATTATCATAA